GATAGAGAAATTTTGGGGAATAACAATGCATGTAGGTATCTGTATCGTTGATGTCTACAATTTTTCTACTGTAAATATGTGCTTATGTACTTAATGGTTTTTTTCATTTTTCTATCTTCCTCACGAATGTCAAAGCAATTGAATGGCAAAACCTGGGTTTTCCCCATGCTAATGTATTACTTTTTTTGCCTTAACAAATAAGTTTCACGGTCTCGTGGATATTGCGTCCATAATTTGTGTTGAAATACCACATCTTGATATAGATCATGAATTGTATGCAACTGTGAAAACTTCAATGATGCATGATCCATGTAGCACAGTGAAGTCAAACAATGCATGCATGAATTTGGGAATTGCACCAAACATTATCCCAGGCAATACTGTAGTCAGACTACTGTTGATGATACTGGATTCGAGAAATATCATGTTCGCAACAATGGTAGAGTATTCACTTGTGGTGGGATTGGACTGGATAATTGATTGGTTGTACCATACAATTAGTATTTGTTACTACGTTTTGGAGCGCATAACAACATTGAGTTTTGTAACAAGACAAGGTATGTATAACATGGTTAGGTTTCTCTTATCACTTTTTCTTTTGAATTTTTTTACTTTTTATCTTAAGAATTATAATTTGCTATTTAATTAGATATAAATCTAACCGTTCCTTATTACTGTATTTCATTTTTAGTATTTGTAATGTTCATTGTTTCCTTCATTTGTTCACCTTCCATTTATTAATAGATAGAAATTGTCAATCAAACTCTATTAAGTTACCGTTACGTTAAAAAATATTAGATAATCGTGCAATTTCCACTGTAGTAGCATACTCATAAGCTTTAACTGTGGAAAGTGGGAATGGCCGAACTAAGATTGTGGAAATCGATGAAATTAAAGCTTTCATGGATGCTCGTTATATCACTTCTGGGGAGGCGTGTTGGAGAATTTTCAGATTTGATATTTACAATCACTCACCAACAGTACTTTGCATGTCATTCCATTTGCCTGGAGAGAATACAGTGTATTCAAATGCGAACTCCAATTTGGAAGATGTTGTTCAATCGAGTCATGCTTAGACCTCAATGTTGTTATCTTAGATGAATCTTAATTTAAGTCAAGCGATTCACAGCTTAATACCTATGTCGAGTTACCTCAATGTTATATTTAGAATAAGAAAGACAAGAAGTGGGAGAAACGGAAGAAAGGTATGTGCATTGTTAGACTCTATTATTGTTACCCTTCTGCTAAAGATATGTATTATTTGCAAATGTTATTGCATGTTGTCCGGGGTTGTTGAAGTTTTGAGGATATTACAACGGTTAATGAGGTCGTACATGAGCATTTCATAATGCATCTTATGCATGTGGACTTTTATCAGGTGATTCTGAATGGAATTATTGTCTACGAGAATTTTCATATTGGGAAACTGGTTATAAGCTGCGGAAACTCTTTGTCACCATTCTTATTCATTGTCGAGTGTCTGATGTGTCAAGTTTTACGAATAAGAATTGGAAAATAATTAGTGATGGCATATTGCATTCACAACGGAGAAAACTAAATTTACCACAATTGAATTTAAGTAATGATGCAATACACGAATTGTGTCTGGTTCATGTCGATGAATTAGTGCAGAGATATTTGAAGTTATTGTCATACTTTTCAGGGTTTCCTATTCTTATTCAGTGCATGAGAACTACTTCTCAAAATAGGATGATACTAGTGTTGTCAAAACGGGACTGGAATGCAAACCAAATTAGCGAGAGGTTTAAGATTTATCGAATAACCGTTGATTAACCGGTATATAATCGATGACAAACCCGGTAATATAAAAAAAATTCAATTACAAGGTTTATTGGGCCTTTTTCAAGTTAGAATTGCCGTTTTTTCACCACAAGTTATTCTTATCAATTAATTTAATTGGACCTTTTTTATCCTTGAGCCCATTTTTTCAATAATAAGAAAGAGGACTAGAAGTCCAAAAATCTTCCACACATCTCTCTTTCTCCTCTGTTCCGCCTCCAGACCTTCTGTCTCTAGGCAAAAAACCCTACAAATCGATTCCAGTTCCTAGCTCATTGCAATTACATGTAACTCTTCTTAGCCTGGCCTACTTTGTGCCGCACCTCTGCTTTTCATTCCTCATATCACCAACACAGTCTCTGCCGCTTCACCTATTTCTCCGACCTCAAATATGCTTCTTCTTCCCCCACTCGAATCCCCTCAGCCGTCTCCTCTCGCCCCGTCGCCGCCTCCTCCATCGCCCAATCAGCGTCTATGACGCTCGCTCCGGCCGAAGCTTCTTTGGTCTATATTAACTCAGTCAACCTCCTTAATCTTTCTAATTTTTTTTCAATGGTACCAAAACTGTCGGTATGGGTTCGGCGGGTCTCTCGGTTAATCGGTCAAACCGGTTACTACTCGGCCTGGCAGGATTGTTCCCATTTTGAGGTAATCAAAATTGGATTACTAACCTAATTCGGTTAACCGCAGCCTGACCGGCCGGTCTGGTTCGTTTTGATAACAGTGGATGATACAAGTTAAGTTGAATTATGGATCGGATGACTTTGATTTTGAGAAAGTTCAAATGTACCAACATTTAAAGTCTGAACAACAACTTGATTTTTTTATAAGATTTTAGAATCTGTCTATATAAATGGAGGAAAATCATCTTTTATTTATGGATATAGAAGGAATGGTAATAATTATTTAAATTGTGTTGTAGATCATTTGTTAGAACTAATCTTAATATTTTTCTTTTGTTGTTTTTCTGTTAAGGGCAAGATGATTGAGGGGGTTATTCGCCGCCCCTATCTGGAAAAATTTATTCGATTTCTCTCTAAAGGTTGTGTTCAGCGGCGGATCCACGAGGCTGGCTCCGGGCCACGGTCCAGCCCTCCTCTGGATCCACAGCTAGTATATGACGTGTAAATTTTTTATTTTAGTTATTTTCGGTTTGTTTTTGGGTTTTATCGGGCTACGGCCTAGTCCTCTTCACCTCTTTTCAAATACGGCTCAGTGCTCTACGTTGTCCTGGATCCGCCGCTAGTTGTATTTTATGGAATTTTGCATTTCGACTTGGAGGAGAACACTAGCCTGCATCGAGTAGCCCTGAATATTGTCCAAATTGCATTTCAGGTTGATACTCTACTCTTTGCCTAGGAAGAAACCAGCGAGATCCCCAAAGTCAGTTTACAAATCCTGCATTTTAGAGACTTCTCATATGCCTTCAACAATCAACAATATCTTCCATGTCTGTGTTTTTTCTTCTCTACTGAATATCATATTATTGTTTTTTCTTCTCAGTGTTATTAAAGCCGGACCGAGCCGATCGGTCGGACCGATAAAACCGGCACTCAGACGTCATTCCGGTTCGGACCACCACGAAAACTGCAATGGTGAGAAAGACCAGTTGGTGAGCGGCTGCAACGACTAATCGTTCGAGCCGATCGAACCGACCGACCAGAGAGTTTTTGAAATGATATGCACATTCTTGGACATAGCTCTCTACCAATATGTTTTTCTCCTTTTGTGATGTGTGTTTGATGCCTTTGAGGCTGTAATTTGAATTCAAAATTACGAAGCTATTTTTGTATTTTTATATTAGGTTATTCATTTGCTTCTTCCAGGGCTACTAAGATTTATTTTAATCCTCGTAGTCCTCATATCTACCCTTGGTTAAACCAGTAAGTTTTCTACTCTAACTATTCACTCTACTTTCATTAAGATATTTCAAAGGCTAATCTTCATGCACTTACTGTTAGTATTCATTCTGTGTCATATCAAATGAACTACATTCTTGGAAAACCCTCTACATTATGTCTGGGAAAGTCAAAGATATTTCCATTTTATGTTCAACAGGATACCTAATAGGATTCAGCAACAAAACACACTACGACATACCACTACATCAGGCGGTAACCTCCTCGGAAACATAATTCTTCTCCTGTCAAATTCAAAACCGCAACTCAAATTCGTACCCATATTCTCCCATCTCATGCCGCCACCGCATAACGTACAACCAGTTTCGTTTCATTGCGTGCTGCGCCGATTACAATAACATAAATCAATCATTCTTGTACTGCTACAAAAAACCTAAAGTTACTTGCAAACTCACAAATTCATTCGGGAATCGGCAACGCAATTGCATTCACCATGGATGCTTGTACCTCAATGGAACCAGTAAGTGGTGTTTATGCAACCGACCCATAACATTGCAGTTTATTCCGCTTCTTTTTCCTACTCACATTCATTGCTAGCGGTTTAATATATAGGCATATTTACCACGATCATGGATTCATTGCAAATCTGAAATATGAGGAAGTCAATGCTATGTGTGACGTTACTGATACCATAAAACTTATTTTGCTGCAGTTGGATGGTGAAAATCAGGTTATTAACACATGATATTTGGTATTCATCATTCTACATTCTGTTTTTTTTTTGTTTTTTTTTTCTAAAATCCGTTTCTTTTATTACACCCGGGTACTTCCTACCTCTTCTTTGGACATATCACGGATTTGAGGACATCCCGGTGAGCTGCATCCAGAGTACAATTGAGGATGACATCAATGATGCTGAGGTCGTTTTCCCATCGCTATACTTACAAAGGATTGTTGCATCTATAGTAAGTCATGTAGATGTCAATGGTGACTATGTCTCCCTTCAGAACTTGCTTGGTGGAAACTCTTAAGAAGTTACGGTCATAGTCGGTCCCTAGAACAATGTCTTTAATTATTTTCAGCTGGCCTGGTAAAATTATTCTTGCCTTTGGGTAACTGAATACCATTTTAGCAACGCCGAGACAATTCATTAAAGTTTCTTAATTATTTGTGGAATGGAACTCCATTTAGTTTACACTTCGCGTACCCACTTTAGTTATGTGAATGATTTGAGAGTTTTTTCATAAGTATAAGATTTTTTATAGTTGTTCTTATTGTCAATGTTCCTTCAAATTAGTTTTGGCTGCTCAATAGATTGAAAAATCGCAACAAACCTTCCGTAATATATTGTTTTATTCATTTGTTGCCGATGGCATTACAAATACCATGACGACATATTGTGAAACGTCCCGTCTCTTTTCAAAAACCAAACCAAAAACCGGTTACCATTACAAATACCATGACGACATAGTTGTTCTGTAATATTATTCTTGACTGATTCTGACGTAAACCCAAAGTACATATATATAGGAAATAAACCCAAAACCCTAATGAACTAGTCCTAACCTAATCGACCTAGGTTAGCCGCCAACCCTAACATCATTAATTATTATTATTATACTAATATATCTCTCTAACATTCCACCCTCCTTGAAAGCGACCTTGTCCTCAAGGTTGCAGTCAACTTCCGTCTTCTTGATCTTCCGCTTTCTTTGCTTCCAATTGCGTTCAGTTCTATAAATTAACTTTCATTCAGATACTTCAAAGGCTAATCTTCATGCACTTACTGTTAGTAGTCCTTCTGTGTCATATCAAATGAGCTACATTCTTGGAAAATCCTCTACATTATGTCTGGGAAAGTCAAAGATATTTCCATTTTATGTTCAACAGGATACCTAATAGGATTCAACAACAAAACACACTACGACATACCACTACATCAGGCGGTAACCTCCTCGGAAGCATAATTCTTCTCCTGTCAAATTCAAAACCGCAACTCAAATTCGTACCCATATTCTCCCATCTCATGCCGCCACCGCATAACGTGCAACCAGTTTAGTTGCCTTGCGTGTTGTGCCGATTACAATAACATAAATCAATCATTCTTGTACTGCTACAAAAAAAAAACCAAAGTTACTTGCAAACTCGCAAATTCATACGGGAATCGGCGACGCAATTGCATTCACCATGGATGTTTGTACCTCAATGGAACCAGTAAGTGGTGTTTATGCAATCAACCCATAACATTGCAGTTTATTCCGCTTCTTTTTCCTACTCACATTCATTGCTAGCGGTGTAATATATAGGCATATTTACCACGATCATGGTTTCATTGCAAATCTGAAATATGAGGAAGTCATTGCTATGTGTGACGTTACTGATACCATAAAACTTATTTTGCTGCAGTTGGATGGTGAAAATCAGGTTATTAACACATGATATTTGTTATTCATCATTCTACATTCTGTTTTTTTTTTTTTGCATTTTTTTTTCTAAAATCCGTTTCTTTTATTACACCCGGGTACTTCCTACCTCTTCTTTGGACGTATCACGGATTTGAGGACATCCTGGTGAGCTGCATCCAGAGTACAATTGAGGATAACATCAATGATGTTGAGGTCGTTTTCCCATCGCTATACTTACAAAGGATTGTTGCATCTATAGTAAGTCATGTAGATGTCAATGGTGACTATGTCGCCCTTCGGAACTTGCTTGGTGGAAACTCTTATGAAGTTACGGTCATAGTCGATCCCTAGAACAATGTCTTTAATTATTTTCAGCTGGTCTGGTAAAATTATTTTGCCTTTGGGTAACTGAATACCATTTCAGCAACGCCGAGACAATTCATTAAAGTTTCTTAATTATTTGTGGAATGGAACTCCATTCAGTTTACACTTCGCGTACCTTTTTTTTTTTGTCAAAAGATATCATATATTAATCCAATCAAAAAGATAGTTACATCCTGGAAAGCAGCCAGGCTCTGAAATCAAACAAGCGATTCCCATTCGGGTGCAAAGAGAGGGCTTTTCTAGCTACCGAATGAGCTACTCTATTGTTATCCCGACCTACAAACTGCACACTAAACCCCGGATGGGCAGCAAAATATTGACAAATTTTTTCCAGGACTGCCCCCAAGTGATTGTCGCGCGAATCGGCTTCATTAATCTTGTCAATAATGACCTTCGCATCCCCTTCGAACCGAACATCGGACAAACCCCACACTAAACACCAAGTGATAGCCTCATGCAGCACTAGCAGCTCCACCACCATCGGCTCATCAATTCGTGTAAATTGCACACCTTTAGCCCGAAGGACCGTCCTTCTCTAACCACAAAGAACCATCCCACCAGCCGAGTGTGACCCCCTCCTAGTTGCCCCGTCCCACATGCAAACCAACCGAGAGTCATCCACGCGGGTCCCAGGCTGGATCACCTGGAAAGACATCCTTGGTTGCTGGTCAACCGGCAGACCCACCCACTCCTCATATTGCTGGCGCATTAAAGCCGGAATCCCAAACTGTTTGCCTTCAAAGACAACCCAGATTCGCGATCGCCAGATCCGCCAGAGGATGGCAACCACCGTCATAAACAGCGACGGATCATGGACAAGGGCAAGCATCCGCTTTAGAAACAGTGGAAATGTGTGTTGAGGCAAAGCCTCCCATAAATAATCCAACCCCGAGTAGTCCTAGAGGGCCCGCGCAACCGGGAAGTAGAGAAACAAGTGCTCCATCGTCTCGGGACCCTCCCAACAAACCGGACACCGAGGCAGCACAGGAACCTTCTTTTCAATGAGCGCCTCTGTGGTTGGCAGGGCCCAATTCAAAATTTGCCAGACAAAGACTTTAAGCTTTGGAGGGATCTTAGCTTCCCACAACCGGATCCAGCTTTTCCTATCCATCTAACTCACCGATTCCCGCCACCCACCCCTCCTCCTGTCAAGCTCAACTGTCAGATGATATGCCATCTTAACCGAGAACACCCCATCAGCAGTGTTATGCCAGATAAGTTTATCATCCACATTCCGCCTCGGAAGTGGGATAGCCTTAACGGCCCGACAGACAGAAGGGTCAAACCATTGACAAAGCTTATTCTCATCCCAACGCCCTTCCCCTTGACAAATAACCTCAGCCACCAAGGGATCCCCCCCCATTTGGCAGGATGCGGGGATTATAGCAAGGGGAATCCAGCTGAAGCCAGGAATCCATTTAGAATGTACAAGGGAGGCCGAGAGGTCATTGCCTATCTGCCATCTTAAACCTGCCTCTAAAAGCTGACGCCCAAACAGGATACTCTGCCAACCCCAAGAAGGCCTAGACCGGGCAGTAGCAGACAGAAAAGATCCTTGAGGAAAGTACTTCCCTTTATACACCTGAACCAGGAGGGAGTGCGGCTCATGGAGAATACGCTAGCCAATCTTTGCTAAGAGAGCCTGGTTAAAATGTTCAAACCTGCGAAAACCTAAACCCCCGTCATGCTTGCTCCTGCAAAGGTTCCGCCAGGACACCCACCGAATCTTGGGGTGACCATCCTCAACTCTCCACCAGAAACGGGCCACATGTTTATCCAACAAACGACAAAGGGAGAGGGGCAACCGGAAACATGACATAACATACAGGGGCAAGGCCAAAGCAATTGATTTAATTAAAGTCTCCTTAGCCGCCCAGGATAAAGTTTTCTGTTTCCACCACTGCAGACGCGCCAGTAGTTTCTCCTCTAGATACCTGAATGTCGCCATTTTGTATCGGGCAATCAAAGTGGGTAGCCCCAAGTACTTATCATGAACCCCTACTGCACCGACCCCAAGAATCGTAGCCAAAAACTCCTGATCAGCCAAGGCAATATTTTTGCGAAAGCAGACTGCCGACTTTTCCAGGTTAACCCGCTGCCCACTCAGCTCCTCATACTCATTGAGCACCATAATTAAATTCTCACACTCCTGAAGGGAACCTCGCAGGAATAGATAGGAATCATCCGCGAAAAACAGATGCGAGATCCTAGGAGCACGCGGCGCCACCTTCACCCCCTACAACTTCTTTACCGAGATCGCCTTCCGAAGAAGGGCCGCAAACCCCTCCGTGCAAAGCACAAACAGGAGAGGCGACAACGGATCTCCCTGTCTGAGTCCCCGAGAGGAGCCAAAAAAACTCGAAGGTACCATTCATCAGAACCGAAAAAGTAGCGGATCTAAGACATTCATGTACCAATCCTTGCCAGACAGAATTAAAGCCCATCTTATCCAAAACTGCCAGAAGGAAGGGCCATTCGACTCTATCATAGGCCTTTTCCATGTCAACCTTTAGAGCCATGTACCCCTTCTTACCCTGCCTTTTTATTTTGAGATAATGCATTAACTCATGCCCAAGAAGGACGTTATCAATAATCTGCCGGTCTTTTATAAACGCATTTTGCCCCTCAGAAACCATTTGAGGGAGCAATCCCGCAAGCCTCTCAGCCATGATCTTGGTTATAACTTTATAAACGAACTGACAGAGACTGATCGGACGCAGCTGGCGAACATTTTCCACAGAATCCCCTTTAGGGATCAACGTAAGCCAAGTACGGTTAAAACTCCGTAGCATTCGACTAGTCGAAAAGAAAGACCAAACCGCCTCAATCATCGAGGCACCCACAACATCCCAGAATGCTTTGAAGAATTTGCCGGTAAAGCCATCAGACCCCGGAGCCTGCTTCGATCCCATAGAAAAGACCGTTTTCCGAACCTCCTCCGGCAAAACCACCGCCGTTAAAAGCGCATTCATCTGCGGAGTAACCATTTAGCACCCTATCAGCCATATTTAGCACCTGGGATTCCGAGGTAAATAGAGTTTGGTAAAAGCTGGTAGCAATCCTAGCCTTCCCGCTCTCCTCCGTAACCCATTCACCCTCATCATCCCGGAGCCCAGCGACAAAATTCCTTTTCCGACGTGTGCGCGTAACCGTGTGAAAATACGCTGAGTTTTGGTCCCTTCTTTTTAGCCATCGGACCCTGGACTTTTGCTGCCAGTATAACTCCTCCGCATCCCACTGACGAGATAGCTCCATTTCCAGGGATCGTACCGCATCCCAATCCACCGGATGGATGGACTTGACTCGGTCAACCTCAGCATGGAGGGTCTTAATATTCTGCAAGGAGTTAGTGGTGCCCGCCCTACTCCAATCATACAGAAGGTGACGGAGTTTCTTGAGGCGCTCCCAAAGACGAAACATGGGGGTACCTTGCACCTCCTCCTGCCAGACATACTGGACCATTGCCCTAACCTCCGGGTTCTCCACCCAACGAGCATCAAACCGGAAAAGAGGCCGACTATTCCGAGTGTAAGGTTTTCAGGGAGAAGGAGGGCACGATGGTCTGACCCCTGATCCGTAAAATGTTTGACCAAGGTCTCCGGATACATATCTATCCAGGCTTGGGAGCAAAGGGCCCTATCCAACCGTTCACGAATGCACGCCTCCCCCATTCGCTTGTTGGTCCAGGTAAACTGATCCCCTTGGTATCCTGGGTCATGGAGTCCTAACTCATGGACAAACTCCCGCAGGCTGGTGGCTTGAGCCGCATTCCAAGCCTGACCCCCATCTTTTTCCCATTCATGGAGGGTGACGTTGAAATCACCAATGGTTGGTGAATACTCCCACACACTTCATGCAAATGAGCCAACTAGCTATCTCGAACAGCAACATTACAACTAATGTAAACAAAAAACACCAAATACGAAAAATCACCTTCATTAATTTGCGAACAAATATAAGAATTGGAAGAACAAAACACCGAAGTGTTAACCCCGGGGGCCCAAGCTACAACTAACCCACCCGATGCATTGACTGCATCCACAAAAAAACAATGAGAATTCTCAAAACCTAAACCCCACATACGGCGGGCCACTACACGTTGGCTCGACTGTGTTTCAGAGAAAAACACTACATCCGGCTTATTAGAATGAACAAGCCCTAAAGCAGAATAGAAGGTGAGGGATGGCCCAATTCCTCTCACATTCCAGGCCAGAAGCCTCATTTATCCACTAGGGGCCACTCGAGGCTGGCGTCCTCCACCTTTTCCTAGGCATCCACTGATTCCACATCAGTGGGTGACCTGCGCTTGATTTCAAAAGAATGGGCTTCCTCCAGCGATTGATCCTCATCAGAGTCAGCTAACTGCTGATGTTTCACCGCTTTGGGGTTATCAAAACTATCCCCAGCCTCCTTATCCTCCAGATCACGTACTGCACCTGCTCAGGGGTGGGCATCGGTTCGGTTCGGTCGAAACCGAACCGAAAAGATGGATACCGGGTCGGCTGCTTCCTCAAATGGCCAGACCGAACTCGAACCGGAATATAATTCGGTTCGGTTCGACCGAACCGAATTATAGACCGGTTCGGTTCGGTGGTCAACCCGAAAAGGACCTGCTGTATGTTTGGGAATGACCTGCTGCCTCATTTTTTTAGAGGAACTGCTGCCTCTTTTTTTTATGGCAGCTGCTGCCTCATTTTTTTAGAGGAACTTGAGACAACAAATAAGCACACAAAGTCTCAAACATCAATTGTCAACCATTCTAAAATTCAAGACAAGTACAAATACCAAAATCCACCATTCAAACATCAAAGTCTACCATATGAAAAGATAAATTACATCATACTTAAAAACATAAATTGAAACTCCAAAGTCCATTTATCATCTCTTGGTTCTTCATTGCTCCTTACTTCTTGTTTCTTCAATCTTGGACAATTGACTCCTTTGCTAGCCAAGGCCTAAGAATTATACATGAAAAAAATGGTTAGTGATGAATAAATATAGAGATAAATACAAATAGAATAAAACCATTGCTCTAAAAAGTTAAGATTACCTACTTGTGAGATCAATCATGCATGAAATCGGAACTATCACAAAAACCACTACTAGATCCATCGCCATCGGTACGACCACTTGTTACATTCGAAGTGGAAGTAGATGAAACAAGGTTATCTCTAATGGATATTGCATCCATCAACTTGTTCAATTCTGCAACATCAAACCAAAAAAAATCAATATAGACTAATCATAAGCTAAAAATCAATCACAATGTAAATATGTAATGCTAGTTTTAAGATTTTACCTTCATCTATTTTGTCAACCTCTTCCGCGTCCTCCTCATCTAATGATGGTCTAGAATCACCTCGAATCCAATCTGAGCTACAAATTAAGGCCTCCACTATTCTAGGAGTCAATGAACTTCTGAAATCATCGAGAATCCTCCCACCGGCACTAAATGCAGATTCGGATGCAACGGTAGAAATTGGGACCGCTAGAACATCCTTAGCCATCATAGAAAGGGCTGGAAACCTCGAACAATTAACCTTCCACCAACCTAATACATCAAAGTTCATCTCCATCGGCTCATCAGCTTCACGAAGGTATCTTTCAAGCTCAGATTTGTTCACCGCCCCATCAATTTGCTCTCTATGTCGTTTATACTCAGCAAGAACATCAATCACATCATTACCACACTCCTCCACAATAGGAGTCAAAGTAGCAGTAGAAGCACCCTTATGTTGTTTTGACTTCCACACTTGTTCATAGTGAGCAAAGAGCTCAAATGTCGCCTTGCGCACATCTTCTGCCATACGTCCTCCCTTGCCATCTTCAGGATAGACCCTCTTCAACCCGTACTCCAGAAATCCCAGCTTGTACCTCGGGTCCATTACAGTGGCAATGTAGAGTAACTTGTTCATTTTATCAACATCACCCCAATACTTCTCATACTTTAGCTTCATCTTCTTAGCCATGACACTCAAGTCATAATCTTTTTCAACTTCTTCCACCCACTTGTTAATCAAATGATATAGGGAATGCACTTCTTGTAGAAACAAGTTAGAAGTAGTATAATGGGAACCTGAGATCTTCAAGGTGAAGTCATAGAAACGACCCAGAAAACCCATCATTCTCCTTGCATTATCCCAATCAGTCTTCTCAGGAACCCCAATTATGCCATGTCTATCTTTCTTGCTTTCCAAGTCCTTTCGAAATTGCTCGTCATACATTTCGTACATCATAAAGACCTTCTCAAACCTCTCAGCAGCTTGCAACATCAGGAATGTCGAGTTCCATCTTGTGGGAACGTCAAGACATAACCCTCGTTTGCCTTCTATCTTCTGAACTGCAGCAAACTCATGAAATCTTTTCAACCTTTCAGGTGAGTTTCTAATAAACCTCACCGCTTCCCTAATCCTCTTCACAGACAACGAGATATCTCCAAGTCCATCAGACACAACTAGATTTAAGATGTGAGCTACACATCTCATATGAAGGAATGCATTATCACAGATGCTAATACCTCTAGCATTGAACACTTCCTTCAATTTTGCAACAGCTGTATCATTGGAGGATGCATTATCCACGGTAATAGAGAATACCTTCTTAATTCCCCAACCATCAAGACAATCAACAATACCCTCAGCAATATCCACTCCCTTATGACCTTTAAGTTCACCAAAATTTATGATCTTCTTTCTTAACTTCCAATCTTGATCAATAAAGTGAGCAGTCAAGCACATAAAGCTATCTTGTTTGTTTGAAGTCCATGCATCAGTAGTCAAACACACACTTCCTTCGCAACTTTGAAAAAACTTTTTCAACTTGTCTTTCATCTCACCATAGAAACCAAAACAATCCCTAGTCATTGTTCTTCTAGAAGGAATATTAAACCTAGGGCAACATAGTGACATGAAGTACTTAAACCCCATCCCCTCCACAAATTTGAACGGAAGCTCATCAACAGTGATCATGTAAGCTAATCCCTTTCTTATAGCTTCTTGATCAAATTTCCAGTTAGTTAAAGCACCCTCATTCTCAATCCCAGTTTTCTCTAAGTTCAATAGTTGCTGAGTGGTACCTTTTATGCTCCTACAACCTCTTCGCATGTGAGCATTCATGGCATTGGTTCCATTCTTTTGTGGATCAGCATCATACTCAATCCCACAAATGTCGCACCTTGACTTCTTATTGCCGTCCTTGTCATTGAACTTTGAGAACTGCTTCCAACATGGAGCACGTGGCTCCATATCTTTCCTTTTTGAGGATCGAATATGTGTTGTAGAACGAACACCAGCAGGAGGAGCTGAAGGATCACCACCCCCTGGCTCGGGAACTTCATTCTCTGATGATTCTTGGTCCTAAATCATCCAAACACAAACATAAATCAAACCATTCTTCATTTTTGACCCCTGCTGTCTTTTTTCTATCTTTTTCCTCTTAATGCTATTAGCTAGCTATCTTTTTTCTATCAATTAACAAACATAAACATATATAAATCAAAGTCAATCAAACCATGCTTCAGACCTCAATAGTTCAATTAGGCCCCTGCTGTCTTTTTTCTTGGTTTTTTTTATGCTAGCTAGCTTCATTTTACAGAATAGACATCAAAACTGGAAATAGATAGTTACCAAAACATGAACATCCTCGGTTGCAATATTTGGAATTGGACCGTCAGTGTGAGAAGAGCTGCCAGGATTTTTTCGTTTGCTGGATTTTCGATTGGTGGTGCTCATGGCTTTCGATGGAGAGAGATGGGAAGATGGCGAGTGGCGACTGCCGTCGACGAGGGGCGACAATGGGGGCCCTGCGCCTGCACTGCTGGAAGCTGGATGGTGGTGGCTGACTGGCTGTCGTGCTCTGCTCTGCTACCCCCGGCGCCGGCGGTGACTCATGGTGCAGAGATGGAGGGCGGCGACTCTCGACTCTCGAGACTCGAGTTGTTGTTGGGAGGCAGGCGTGGCGGCGACTGGAAATCAGTGATGGGAGGGCGGCGGCGACGGCGACTGAGGGTCGGGAGACGGAACGGAATGGAGTTTTGGCTGCTGGTCGCTGGAGGGTCGGGAGACGATCGATTCGAAGGAGACTGGCTGGCGGCTGCTGGAGGTGGAGGGCGACTGGGCGAGACTCGAGAGGCAGAGAGGAGAGGCAGAGGCCGAGAGGGTTAGGGGTTGTTAGGGCTTGTTTCGGTTGGGATTGGGTCATTGGGAGGCTGGCTGCTGGGCTGGGTTTCTTCAATTGGGTTTGGGCTTGCAGCCCAGCCCTTGCCCCTTGGCCCATTACCACTTACTAGCTTATACAACATTTCGGTTTACGGTTCGGAATTCGGAATTCGGTTTCGGGCGGTACCACCATGTATTCCGAAGTAGAAGGATTTTGCATCCGAATTCCGATCCGAAATGAAGGAAATTTGGTTTCGGTCGGTTCGGGGTCGGTTCGGTTCGGTTCGGAGAGTTAAAACCGGACCGAACGCCCACCCCTACACCTGCTGGAGTATCCTCCTCAACCTGGGTGGACACAGTCAGTGGGGAGCTAGCTCCCCCTTTTCTCAATCGCAGACGAACCCGAGGTGTCATGCCCCCTGGCTTGGCCACAGTCATATGGGCAGTAGGGCTGTAACTGTGGCCCTTACTACCCATCAGCCCGGCCCGACCCAACCCTATGGGTCGGGTAGGGTCAATTAGTCTTTAGGGCCAAAATAGGGCCAGGTCACATTCTAACCCAAGAGGGTAGGGTATTTTTGGGTTTTACCGTTAAAACCCATTCAGGCCCATTTTGACCCATTTTAACCCTAAAAAAATAAAATCCATTTCAGCCCATCTCTTCTTTCCGCTGACATCTCCTCCTGATCGCCATCGTCGAGTTCGACCCAAAACCTCCGCCGTATCTCCTTCTCCTCTGCGCCGGTCCGGCACTCGGGTTCGCCCTCCGCCGCCGCCCTCTCCTGCCCCCCGCCGCAGCAGCTTCCATTCCGCAGGAGATTGATGGGTGTGGAGGGAAAATAGACCCAGCTCTGAATCGGATCCCAGCTTCTCTGCTCCCCAAACCTAGGTTCGACTCACTTTTCATGTCTTAGCGTCCTTCTCCTGCTTCAATCACAAACATGGGTTCTCTTAGCATCCTTGTCCTGCTTCAATCACAAACATGGGTAACAATTGCGATCCACAAAATCCTAGAAAGGGGAAAGCTCAAGATCCCCCTCCAAATCTCTAAATGTTGCTTGCAGGTGGCTTTAGCTGGTACATCGTATTCACTTGTGCAGAGATTAGGTGCAATTGTGGTACGTGCATCGCTTGGATTAGCTGAGACCCTAGTGTCTTTGTGGGATGGAAGACTTTATACTTCTCATTCTGCAATGGAGAAATTATTGTTGTTCTTTTGTTTTGCAGCGGAATGGAGCGAAGCTCTTTCTGGTTGGGACTAGTGCATCTCTGGTACACGCTCAGGCTAATTCTTCGCATGAACTGAGAAGCTTCTGTTGTTTCCAGTCTCTATGTGAATTTTGCAGGGTGGGGGGGAATAGAAAAGCAACTCAAACTTCATTTTGTATGCTATTTGGCTGACAGTGAGAGTATCCTTCTTTGCTTCAGATTGGTGTAGGTGTAACAAACACATTGATCAATCTCCGGAAAGCGGTGGACAAATCTTTCGCTGGTGAAGCAGAGGACATGCCAATCCTATCAACTAGTGCTGCCTATGGTGTCTATATGTCCGTCTCTAGTAACTTGAGGTACTCTTTCTATATCTCCGATATGATCAGCTTCAAGCAGAAGAAAGACAGCTCCAATAATTGCAGAAGAAAACAAAAACATGTTTGTTTTTGTCCCCATGGGTTTTGTTTGAGAAATCACGAGTCACAGCAGACTCATTGTACTACTATAGGCATTGGAATCATGCTTAGTCGATGAGGCTTTAGCTTCTGAGTTCATATTCTGCACCCTTTCAAGAGTCTGATTTATACGCATTTTAAGTCTCATTTTATAGGTGGCGTGGAAAGTTGTTTTATTAGTATTAAGTGTGGTATTAAGAAAGAAAAACACGGTTTGTGTTTGAATGTAGGACTTGAAATCTTAGCCTTCTCAAGTCTAGTGCTGGGGCCTTCTTAGGCATTTTGATCAAATGGAACTTTGAGAAGTTCTTGGTGGACAAGAACGGTGAGGTTGTCGAACGATATCCGCCAACAACATCGCCTTTCCAAATCGAGGTACTTGTTTGCATCAAATCGAGGTACTTGTTATGGATTATTGGTGCAGAGTTTTCAAGCTAATTAGTATTTGATAATTATGCAGGTAATCCTGACACCTACTCATCTGGCGATTAGTGGTGTTAAATGCTTAACATGAAGAGATATGCTTAGTGGTGTTAAATGATGTATATTTTATAATTATGGATGAATTTTAGTATTTTGATTTTGCATGTGCATATGAAATAATATTACCAAGCTTATATTGGTCCTACACCGGGCCCACCTTGAACCTTTTAGGGTCTTTTTTGCGAAGAATGAGTCATGCCGATGGGTTATGCCCACGGGAGACCACTTGTCTTCACAGCCAATCCCTTGTAATTAGATCAATTACCCAACTACAACCACATGCATTTTATTGTTTGTCATGAGACCATAGTATTGACCACCTTTTAGGTTAGATCCAGCCATGACTAGATAGATGGTTTTGTTTTTCGAAACATAGTTTTGCATGCATCTATGTTATGTACGACAATGTATATGAAATGTATCATCATCTGAATATTGTAGTTTAAGACAACCCAACAAGTGGAATAACAATTAAAAAAATTCAGATAAAATATAAAAATCCACACATTGTGTAACTAGAAATAATAAGTAATTGAGGCTTAGTCCCATGTGGATTTCAGGTTTTTAACCACTCTTTATATTTGTGTGATTTTTAGATTTGAAATTATGGACGAAGCAACTAGTAACAATCCCATGGCTAGCTCTACCGGCACACCTTCCGAACGAGTTCTGCCAACGAATGTTAGTGAGAGTGAAGAAGGTGCATTCGGAACTTCAGATGTGTGGTCACACTTTACAAGAATGAATTGGTCGGATAAGCCAAATAGGCTTGCTGAATGCAAATACTGTCGAAAGCAATTGAAGTGTGCATCTACTTCTGGGACTAGTAGTTTGAGAAGACATTTGCAAAGATGTAGAGTATACCCGTATAGTGATGTTAACTTGAAGAGTAATAGAACTCCTAGCGTTCAGGCAACTGGTGTTCAGGGTACTAGCAATGCATCTCCCTCTTTTGTAGCTCCAACATATGACCCAACTGTCTCAAGAATGAAGCTTGCTAGAATGATTATCATAGACGAGTTAGCTTTTAGACATGTTGAGCGTGAAGGATTTCGTGATTTCGTCTACTCACTAAGACCTGAGTTTCATATTCCTTCTAGAATCACTGTAGCAAAAGAATCACTTGAGAGGTATTTAAAGGCAAACATTGAGGATGATGAGAATAAGAATTTTGATATCTTAGCGTGGTGGAAGAAGCACTCTAGTGAGTACTCGATATTGGGTTTGATGGCTAAAGATGTGTTGGCGATTCCAGTATCTACTGTTGCATCCGAGTCCGCTTTCAGTACCGGTGGACGCGTTCTAGATGCATTTCGGAGTTCCTTGACTCCCTTGGTCGTTGAAAGTTTGATTTGTGGTCAGAATTGGCTCTGATCGAGTACTCTTCCAATTGATATGGAAGAGAAGTTTGAGGAAATTGAAGAACTTGAGCAAGGTATGAATTTGATCAACAATGTGGTTTTAAAAGTTTATCATTTGTTTATACTATTATTAATTTATTTGTGGTTTTGTTAATTTTGCAGAGTTAAAGGAGTTTTGCTTGGATGATAGTACTATCATGAGTGATTTGGTTGATGATGATTGAAAGATGATATATTTGATATTATGAGCGATGTATTTGATGAATTGCGAAATTTTGTACTTTTTTTACATACTTTGCATTTTGTTTATTTTATTTGGATTTATTGTAAGGTAATTTTGACTTTTTAGATGTAATTTAAATTTTGTTTATTTGATTTGGATTTATTTTAAGATAATTAAGACTTTTTAGATGTAATTTGCATTTTTTTATTTGATTTGGATTTATCGTAAGGTGATTTAGACTTTTTAGATGTAATTGTAATTTTTTGGAATTAATTTTGAGTTTTTTGAATTAATTCGGATTTTTGGTATAGGAATTTGGACTAACTTAAATTTTCTGGAATTAGTTGGAATTTTTGTAATCAAAATTTTATTTTTTGAATTAGTTTAAATAATTTCTTTATTTAATTTAGATTATTTTTGTTATGAACTCATTTAAATTTTCTAGTATATACCTGCAATTTTTTAAAATTTAATTTGATATTAAATAATTAAATGGGCTAATATTGTATAAAAAGAAGTTGGGCCGACCCTATGGCCCGACCCGACCCAGCCCAGCCCGACCCAACAGGGCCATACAGGGCCAAATGAGAATAGGGTCGGGCCAAATATTAAAGCATGCAGGGCTGGGTAGTGGCAGGGTCAGGGCTGGGTTTGGCCCAGTTTCACCACTAATGGGCAGCCTTCTGCAATATAGGCTCAGGGATCATATTCTCCTCCTCTTCAGATTCTTCCTGCAAAATCAGCCTATGCCTTCTGGATTGCTTAAGAACTATCTCCACCGGATAAGCCTCCATCTGTGGGAGGGGGCCTGCTTCATGCGCCTACTAGGCTGCTGGCGGCCTTTAGCTGGCTAAGGAGCAAGATTGGTAATCTTCCTGGGCGACCGCTTCTTCTGAGATTGCCTCACCCCGCCCCCAACCTTCACCCGGGGAGACTTCTTAAGGCTAAACCTTTTTGGGCTAGTATGGTTCCCGGCCCTCTAGCTGACTGGTTCTCGCAGCTAGGCTGAGTCTTCATGCTAGCTTGACCTGCTGGGTCTGTAGACCGAATATGGTGCACCCCTTGAGGCTGAATATTCATAGAGGGCACCCGCGGCCCCTCCTCCACTCGCCCCTTGGCAGCCCTTGCATTCCCATCATTTTGCCGGTGGACATTTCGGTTGATCCACACCGACTTACTTGTATCCCGAAACCTTGAAAAGTCCTCCTCCTCCATGTAAATCTTCCGCCCGAGCTTCCTGGTTGACATGTGAGGGCCAAAGCGTTCTTTCGGTCAAAAACACAATCACGCTTGGAATGACCCACGCGCCCACAATGGAAACAGACGGTTGGAAGGAACTCATATTTGAGATTGACCCAGAACTCTCCAAGCTCCTCGCTTACCGCCATGATTTGAGATCGCAGTGGCTTAGCAAAATTAATGAGCACATGCACTTTTACAAAGAGCTCATCCGTCTCCTTGGACGCGAAGACATCTGCCTCCAAGACCTTACCAATCTTCCCCGCTGCTATTTTCTGGCCAAACTGCTTCGTGCAGCAGTCATCTTTCACATTCCAGAGTTGGACCCGAAAAGGGGCAAAGGCTAACTCCTCGAATGTGTTCCTGGAAATGGATGGTGTCCAGGACTGGAGATGGAAGATCCTGTCTTTGACAATCCAGGGTGTCCGTTTCAGGACCCACACCCTTGTTTCGTCACTTGGCAGCACCACTTCAAATAAGCCAAATTTCGTGATTGTAACCCTAAGGTTTCCTTTCACACACCATGCTTCAACAAGTCCCTCTTTCAGCTCCGCAGTAGTAAATTTGGCCTCCGAAAAGAGCATTCCCAGAAGGGTCCTAGAGGTTCGAAACCTCACCGATTGAACCTCCTCAAGTGAGAACTCAACCACTTGATCCTCAGCAATTCGCGATGTCATATTCACCTGAAAATCATAGACAAGTAAATCATTAGTTGCATCACAATTAGGTATTTTCCTCAATGGGCTCGAAATCAGCAAGCCCAAAGGTCTAATGGACTTGGGAATTAAAACAATGGACAAGGGGTTTAATGAAATAGGTGGATTAGGCCCGAAGGCAGAGGTTGGCCCAACCGGCCCCAAGGGGGTGGCCAAACCCACCAGCCTGGCCCAATTGCTTCTATGGAGCTCGAAGGCAGGTCCCGGCCCAACAAACCCCAAGGGGGCAGGCAAACCCGCTGGGCCCAAATCCCGTTCTCCGCTCTTCTGCATACCCAGGGCTATCACTGTGGGCCTATTACACCTGAGGGATGGCTTCTCCTCCGCAACAGAGGCGAAGTCCATCGGGGCCAGCTCATCATCCGCCGCCGGGGGCAACACCGCCGAGCTTTTCGGCAGCAAAACCACGGAACTCACCGGCAGGGATAGGCCACTCCCGAGGTCAGGGGATCTTCCCATCACACCACAGACAGAAGAAGAGCAAACCTTACCTAAAGCGAGATCGGAAGCAGCCCCCTGTTTTTTGGAATTCGTCACCAGTTTGGTTTCTGGGTAAATTGTCCAGCACCGTTCGCTTGTTGATAGCCGTTTTGAGTTCTGTCTCTAGGTTTTATAGGGGAGAAACTCTATGGTTCCCAGGTGGAATCGTGATTCCCAGGGGTGGTTAGAAGTACGAATTGGATTGGGACTCGGATACCTTTGCCGCAGGGTAATTCGGTTTCCACGGAGATTTGTCCCGAGAATCTCGCTCACCAGAAGAGGGGTCCTAGGATACGACTCAATCGTAACCGCCCATGTATTTTGCCTCCACACCAGCTGAGTCCAGGGCTCGACGGCCGCCGCCCCATCAATTTTCTCCCCTGCGGCGGTGGACGCTTCTTGGACTGGCATCCTTGTCTTCACCGACATCACATCGGGGGTAACTCCTCCCACAGGCAATGAGCCATCTGAGAACGCCCCAAGTGAGAATTCAAGGGGTCAATCCCTTCCCCAACGGCCAACACCTGACCTAGGCCTGCAATCGAAACATGTTGTTCAACCCAATTTGCTGGGTTCGGTGACTTTTTTCCCGCGAACGGGGCTCGAGCAGGTTCCTCCCCTTCCAACTCCGACGAGTGGGGGAGCCAGAACCTCCATTGCTTCTTCGGTTGAGATCGCCGCCGCTTCAGAGGGCTTTCCTCAAGTCCGTCAATTTCAATCGACTGAAGCGAACGTTTCTTTTGGTGGTGGCGCCGACATCTGCGCCAATCCACCCTTCTCAAGATCTTTTCCGGCGACTGGAGCTCGACAGCTCTAGGGCTTGCTTCGTTTCCAATCTTGGGTGGGGGCTTGATCAATCCCCGATTCTGCTTCAGGTACCAGCCTGTTGTCGTTTGATTCCTCCAGCTAGCGGCGTAAATAGCCGCGGCTGCCAAGGAGAGCCATTTCCCAAGCAGCGAGCAACAACAGAGGAAAGAGGCGAGAGCGCCTCTCTTTTTTTTCCGTCCCTAGCCGCACTTTCGTTATGTGAATGATTTGAGAGTTTTTTCATAAGTATATGATTTTTTATAGTTGTTCTTATTGTCAATGTTCCTTCAAATTAGTTTAGGCTGCTCAATAGATTGAAAAATCCCAACAAACCTTTCGTAATATATTGTTTTATTCATTTGTTGCCGATGGCATTACAAATACCATGACGACATATTGTGAAACGTCCCGTCTCTTTTCAAAAACCAAACCAAAAACCGGTTACAATTACAAATACCATGACGACATAGTCGTTCTGTAATATTATTCTTGATTGATTCTGACGTAAACCCAAAGTACATATATATAGGAAATAAACCCAAAACCCTAATGAACTAGTCCTAACCTAATCGACCTAGGTTAGCCGCCAACCCTAACATCATTAATTATTATTATTATACTAATATATCTCTCTAACATTCCACCCTCCTTGAAAGCGACCTTGTCCTCAAGGTTACAGTCAACTTCCGTCTTCTTGATCTTCCGCTTTCTTCGCTTCCAATTGCGCTCAATTCTATAAATTAATCTTTCTCCAGCAACTTCCACTTTCCACGACTCTTCTCCCTCCACGTGGCACCTACGTCCCAGCCCATAGTCGAACAATCCGCCCTCTTCCTTTTCAAAATCAATGAAATAAGAATTAGGAAATTGTTCTTCCTCTCTTTTTAAGTCCACTAAATAAAAGTCAAACTCTCCCCTAGATGGGAGTTGGCTAAACTCCTTTGAAAGTCCAATTGCCAAGCTCTTAAACTCACCTTCTTCTTCCTCAAAGCCCACCATTGTAGAGAGACAACACATTCTCGGCCCAAATTGCTTCCAAAAACCCAGCCCAATTAAGTATGCCCAATCCAGCTCTGTAGTTATTAGTTCATCAGGTCCACCCACCAGCTTCAACTCAGCCCATTGCAGCAGATCCAGTGCAAGCCCAGGGAAGCTTCTATCATGGGCCGACCCACCCATGGCCAACCCAAACTTCCCCCTCTGACTTGGCCTGTTACCCCTCAACCCTTCCGACCCAATACCAAAGCACTTTTGAGCCCTCTTCATCCCAATTCGCGACCCGTTGTGTTGTTCTAGTCGGCCTGAAATGAACTAAACTGGCTCCCTCTTCCCACACTGCAGGTTATGACCCAAGTCGATGGGCTTTTCTCTTATTCTCGGCCCAACCAATCCATCACTTTGGCCCGATGATAGCCCAACCCACTCCAGTCCTTGGCGGCCTAGGGTTGCAGAAGAATACCTGCCGCCTTCCTTCTTCTTCGCTTCATTCTCCAGCGGTGCATCATCCCACCGACGGCACGGCGGTCCTCTCGACCTCGCCGTCGACTTCAACTCCGCCACGTACTCCGACGGCGGCTAGAGTTCTGGCGCCCTCTTCGACGTCACCTTCTTTATCTTCTTCGCAACTTCCTTTCCCGGCAGCAACCAACCCGGCCAATTGCACGGCGGACAGCCCGAAGCCGCCGCCGTCTTCTGCTCCCTCTCTTCACTCTCTACCGGCTCCGTCTTCTTCTCCTCGTTCTCCGGCGATGTCTTCTTCGGTGGCGAACAAGGGATCCCGCCGCCGCGCATCTCGTCCGTCAGCTCCGGTTCGTTCGGCATCCCGCGGAACGTCGACTCCTCTGCTCCGCGTCGCCTGCCATGGTTCGCGGTCGCCATCTCCAGGTCAGCAGCTGGCAAATTTCTCGACGAAGTCGTGGGTGAGGCTATGGAGACGCTCGACACAACATCCACCACCTCCGCTTCGTCAGTTCTTTGCTTCTTTCTAAATCGCCAATTCACCACGCGGCCCGCCATTGTTTCTTGCTTGTTTTCCACATGACCCAGCTTTCTTGATTCCTTAATCCGACATCTCCTCAATTGCGATCTCTGGTATGCGGGAGTTGAGTTCTCGACGACGAACGACAGCTTTCTCGGGGATCCTTCCTCGATATCCTCTGCCCCAAGTGGGATCTTCAGAGCTGCAACTGTGGTGGTCGGCGGAAGCTGCTGCTGCTCGTTAGTGGCGCTCGGATATTCCTTTTCTTGGATTAAAGCACCGACATGATTAGTAGTAGCGAGCACCCCCTTCTTCTTCGGTTCGGCGCTACTCGGCGTCTCTTTTGTGGTCTGCGGCTCGTGGCTTGCTCCCGAGATTGGCGTTAACATCGGTTGGACTGGGAGCTCCAACCAATCTTCGAAATCTATTTCTGCAGTTGCGGTCTTGGGTGGAAAAGGCCGCGCGATGTTCGCGGACAGCGGCAAGGACGAGGTAACCTCGTTCTTCCACATCTCTTCCAGCTTCGACTTCAACATCTTTGTGAAGCTCTTCGAATCTCAACATGGTTCCGGTACGAGTGCCTGTAACCGGCCTCTGATACCACTGAAAGAACCCTCTTGTTAAGGATTCTAGGGAATGATCTTCGGCACCCGTAATTATCGTAACAATTAGGGATTTAGGGATTTAGGGATTTAGATGAGAATTGGGGATTAGGGATTGAAGAACTGAATTGGGGTTGAGATAGAAGAATGGCCGGCGACCTTTAGGGGAGAGAGTGACGAGATTTGAGAGGGAGAGACTAGGGTTTGAAGGATACTTTCTGTAATATTATTCTTGACTGATTCTGACGTAAACCCAAAGTACATATATATAGGAAATAAACCCAAAACCCTAATGAACTAGTCCTAACCTAATCGGCCTAGGTTAGCCGCCAACCCTAACATCATTAATTATTATTATTATTATTATTATTATTATTATACAAATATATCTCTCTAACAAACTCCATTCAGTTTACACTTCGCGTACCCACTTTAGTTATGTGAATGATTTGAGAGTTTTTTCATAAGTATATGATTTTTTATAGTTGTTCTTATTGTCAATGTTCCTTCAAATTAGTTTTGGCTGCTCAATAGATTGAAAAATCCCAACAAACCTTTCGTAATATATTGTTTTATTCATTTGTTGCCGATGGCATTACAAATACCATGACGATAAATTGTGAAACGTCCCGTCTCTTTTCAAAAACAAAAAATCGGTTACTCCGGAGCAACCCAAACCACATTTTCAAATTAACAAACCAACATCGTTTAAGAATTTTTAACGAAAAGCTCCAACACTTGGGCAAAATTCTCAATCTCAAACACTTAAAACGAATTAACACAGAATCTCCAGTTTATACTAATAACCATGAACAGAATAATTAACTAATCTAACTTGACTCCTCATCATCCGATATCCCGACGACTCTGGTACTGTTGCTCGCCTCGCCCTGCTTCTTCTCATGATTCACTTCTGCTAGACTATCCTCAACCTGGTGAGTGAGAAGGGGTCAGTCTTGTCGTTACTTCCTAAAGTCTTTGCCCTAGGCAAACTTCCTACTAAACACATTATTAGAGTTTTCTTCCTAGCATGAAAGTCGTTCTCGCTTTCTGCTCTTAAATAACCATTCTTATCAACTCATTTCAACATTAACTCATAAAAGTTCTCGACCTCTATCCTTATCTCAACACAAAACACTAGGACCGCCGCGTTACGTCTCGTCGTCTGGTGTCCTACCCTAGTATGCCAACCGCGTAACGTGTCGCCGTCCGGTTGCATACCCAAGCTTGGCAATGGCACTGCGTTACGTCTCGCCGTCCAGTCCATGCCCGTCAACTACTTCGTTACGTCTCGCCGCCCAGTAGTGACTCAACCGCCCGGGGGTTCCTCATACCATCAATCCATACAACATCACATATATTCATGCATAGCACAACGCGTGCCTCCACCCTTACAAGCGGTGGGATGCCTCACACACATATCGCGCATACTAGAAAAATTAAGTAAATAATAACTTGAACGACAAGCGGAAACTAAAAGACCTACGACAGAGATTTTAACCCCTTTACACTCACCTCATTAGTCGCATCAACGTCTGCATTCTAAAGCTCAAGCCCCGCGCGTTTTTTCCTCTTTTGGATCCTCCTCTATCGGTTCATCGTCTTCCTCTTCAACGGCCGTAACCATTGAAGCTCCGCCGCCATTCTCTTCAAGGTCCTCCTCGGGCCACAATTCGGTGGCCAACTTCGAACTGGCGACACCCCGGGTCGTCTGGGAGGATAGGGTCGGGGCCTCTCCATCACTTTACCCCTGCCATTTGCGATCACCGATGTCTTGATAGATAACAAGGAGGCTTTTAAATCAAGAAAGGTTGTCTTAGAGTATGAATTTCTTATTAATAGGTTTCCTGGGATAATCCGACTAAGGAGGGAAAGAAGGCGAGAAAGTTAGCAGTCGATCGAACTTCGTAGTCTCGCATGATGAAGAGGTTCACACCGATTAGTAGGAGGGGAAGAGTCGCATCTATTAGAGACGGAAGGAAGGCCGAGAACTCGACATCGGTGATCGCAACTAGCGGGGGTAAAGTGATGGAGAGGCCACGACCCTATCCTCCCAGACGACCCGGGGTGTCGGCAGTTCAAAGTTGGCCGCCGAATTGTGGCTCGAGGAGGGACCTTGAAGAGAATGGTGGTGGAGCTCCAATGGTTAGGGCCGTTGAAGAGGAAGATGATGAACCGATAGAGGAGGAGCCAAAAGAGGAAAAACGCGCGGGCTTGAGCTTGAGAATGCAGACGTTGATGCGACTGATGAGGTGAGTGTAAAGGGGGTAAAATCTCTGTCGTAGGTCTTTTAGTTTCCGCTTTTCGTTCAAGTTATTATTTAGTTGATTTTTCTAGTATGCGCGATATGTGTGTGAGGCATCCCACCGCCTGTAAGGGTGGAGGCACGCTTTGTGCTATGTATGATGTTGAATGGATTGATGGTATGAGGAACCCCCGGGCGGTTGAGTCACTACTGGACGGCGAGACGTAACACAGTAGTTGACGGGCATGGACTGGACAGCGAGACGTAACGCAGTGCCATTGTTGAGCTTGAGTATGCAACCGGACGTCGAGACGTAACGCGGTTGGCATACTAGGGTAGGACACCGGACGGCGAGACGTAACGCGGTGGTCCTAGTGTTTTGTGTTGAGATAAGGATAGAGATCGAGAACTTTGATGAGTTAACGTTGAAATGAGTTGATAAGAATGGTTATTTAAGAGCAGAAAGCGAGAACGGCCTTCATGCTAGGAAGCAAACTCTAATAATGTGTTTAGTAGGAAGTTTGCCTAGGGCAAAGACCTTAGGAAGTAACGACGAGACTGACCCCTTCTCACTCACCAGGTTGAGGATAGTCTAGCATAAGTGGACCATGAGAAGAAGCAGGGTGAGGCGAGCAGCAGTACCAACGTCGTCGGAATATCGAAAAGCTCGTGAGGAGTCAAGTTAGATTAGTTAATTTTTCTGTTCATGGTTATTAGTATAAACTGGAGATTCTGTGTTAAGTCGTTTTAAGTGTTTGAGATTGAGAATTTTGACCAAGTGTTGGGGATTTTCGTTAAAAATTCTTAAACGATGTTGGTTTGTTTATTCTAAAATGTGGTTTGGGTTGCTCCGGAGTAACCGGTTTTTGGTTTGATTTTTAAAAAGAGACGGGACGTTTCATCTTGCTTAAACTATTCTCGACCAACAGACAGGGCTAGAAGATAGCTACAAATAAACAATCCATGACAAAAACTTTGATTGAGATATTTATCAAACTAAGTTCAAATATCCGGCCAACTGGCTGAGTCCAAGCTAGTTATATTAATAAATAAATATCATTCATAAAATAGCATCAAGTCTCTCGTCCTACCAAAGTTTCCAAGTTAAACATCTTTTTTGGGGAGTCTTATGAAGTCTTTGATCCTTGCTACGAGCTACTGAATTTTTTAGCCTACTTTTTGCGCTTCTACAATTTCTGTGTGCGAGTTTAGGATCATTCCTAATCCTAATTTAGTAATTACATTGTATTGAAAATCAACCAACACACATAACGGGTAAAGATGCTCACGTAGTGTAATTCATTGGTATATTATTTGGTTAGGTTATTAGGAGTTCTTGAACTTATAATTATGGAGTACTTGCACATTTTATATGGTAATGGGGTCCTGGCTCGAATTAGCTGGCAACACTGCATGTCTGCTTAATTAACATGGCTACTCTCACAACAGGGACTCACCACCTGAGTTATGATCGGTGCGTTACATATTGTCGTCTAGTGTCGCAACAACAAAGGTATACCAACCGCGTCACATATCGTTGTCCAGTTGCATGCCTAAACATAGGCAATGCAACTACGTTACGTATCGTCACCTAGTTCCATGATTGTTCAACTACCGAGTTATGTATCAGCGCCCAGTTCCATTCCATGACTGATCAACTATCGCGTTAAGTATTCCCGTCCCGTAGTGTTTCATTGTGTTGTGGCTAACCAAGCGAGATTTAGTAGTTTACTTGTTCTTACTTATGAACTTGTTCTTACTTGATTGGTTAACTTGATAGCTTATACATGCTTGCCTTAATTACTTCGTAACACCAAGGAGAGATATAATAGGTCATTCTTTTTTTTACTAAACTTACTTGAGCTTGTATAAGATCATCTCTGACACAATGGGGAGATCAAAATTGGTTCACTTGATTAACTTAGTTATCTTATGTTTGCTTTCTTATAACGTGATTTACATAGTTTATAAACTTGAACGTGAATATTATAAATGCATAACTCAAAGATCAATAGCATATGAAGACACATCACTTGACTCAAGTAATATGTACCATTAAAAAATGTAATAATTAGTGCAAACTGAAATACTAACTAGACCCTTAAACCACCTTAAGGTTCAAGTAACCCCACTTACTTTGATCACCCATCTACCAAGACAAATGAGTCAAGTGAATGAGGCTATTCGTGGTGTACATATTTGGACCAATCATTGCTCTCACGTAAAATGTGGTCCAATATACGCTCACAGTTAGTGAACATGATAATCACCCAATTGATCTCATCTATTCCGATCCCCACTGATTTCTCTAAGGTAGATTTACTAACCCTGTTAACTTATGCCCTGTTAACAAGTTGTATCACCAACACTCTCCAACTATGATTGATTTCTTAACAAGACCCCTAGATACATTTAGAGATATAGATAAGAATGGGAGAAAAGACACACCGACAATGAAGCACTCTCCGATAGGCCTCCCCGTCGTTGATGGGCTTCAGCTGCTGTCGTTCATCTTTTGATTCAGCCGCCATAATTCCACAGCTCACCTCTTTCTTGTTTCAACTCATCCATGCGGTGACTGTGGAATTTGTGCCGTTTGAAATCAGTAGTGGGCGCCGGCGCTGATGGGATGCTAGCGGGATTGATGGAGAACAATGAGCCAGGCAGAGGCCGCCGCCGTGATTCGAGTTTAGGGAGAAGCATATATTATATATAGCGGCGAAGGTGTTTTGGAGCTCTTTTGATTTAGCTTAGGTTTAATTCCCCTTTACAGTTCCCACTCTCATCCCTAAGGCCCACCACTTGATCTGACTTCTGACGTTTGTGTCATTCTGTTCCGTAGCTAGTCGTAGAAAGCCCGATCCATAAATTACATTCCCAAACCGAATTCAGTAATTGGACCTTGTTCTTGGATCCCATTGGTTTGATTCGAGTTTTCATACAAAATTAGGTGGCGATGCCGCGCCTTGTCGCGGAACACAGATGGCCTATTGGCATTTATTATGTGGTCCGTTATAGTGTTTTGTTAGTATTATTAGTCTAAATTTTTTTTTGTTAGCAGTTTTGTTATAATATATGGGGTTGGAAGTTCGTAGATGGGTTTGGGTAGGGTATGGATATTACTTCCATAATTTAAATTTGTATGAGTTGGATATGGATACCCATTTATTCAAGAGTGATTTAATTACACATACAAAAATTAGACCTATCTGTAGAACTTCAAAAGTTTAGGTACCAAAATATAATACACAAAAGTTTAGGTGCTAAAATGTAATGTTTCATCAACATTTTGAGGACTTATATGCCAAAAAAATAAATTTAGGTTATAAATCTAAAGATTTATTGAGTTTCAGTACCGAACTGTAATTTTCATAGTTGAGGCTTAATTCCTTTTACAGTGATGTAATTAGGATGATAATTATTTTATATGTATAGATACCTAGCCAAAAATTCCAAGTATAATTGTTGAAAATTCTATCACGGTGAAAAAGAAAAACTCTAGAGAGAGGCAAAAGGAATACAAACTGGAACTCGCTAAAAATTTCACGCCTGGAAAAGCTATTGGTTCATGGTTCAATTATTAGTTCTCTAGACTGTTGGTGAGTCGTGTATGGACCCGTTCATACTTTTGATTAGATACATAAAAATAGTATACTAATTAGGGTTAGACGAAGAAGGCAAAGAAAGAAATAAAGAAAGGGTTATGAAAGGCGAGTGAAAAAATAAATGAAGAGGAAGTGGATGATGGAATGTTTTTATCAATTCTTTTAGTTGGTCGTCAATACAACATTCAATCATTTTCACCATAGCAATTTATTGACACTTGCTTATGTAGATGTCACATATTTTGTTACATGTAGTTAGTAGAAGTTTGTTTAATACCTCGTAAATATACTAAATGAGTTCATAAGTTCGCTCATGCAATATTTTATAGTCGTCTCTCTTTTATTATTTATGTAATATTTCAGGTTTGAGCAAATATAAAATGGTCGAATCTTCTCCTACAATTGAGTGGTACAACATCTTGTATTGTACAGCCTAAAGTTAATACTCTTATGTTATGGTGGATTGGATTCATGGATTAGTTCAAAAGAATTTGTGGATTGGATTCATGAATTCAAGTGAAATCTAAACATTGGATCAATATGTAAATTTAAAAAATCGTAAGTACGAAAATCTCATAAAATTTAGATACCAAAACATAATTGTTCAATGATTTTACATTAAAATTAAATTTGGGGTATCAAAATATAAAATGTACATTATAGTGACTAAGTTGTGATTTAATTAAATTTGGGGTATTAGGTACGAAAATCTCATAAAATTTAGATACCAAACATAATTGTTCAATGATTTTACATTAAAATTAAATATGGGGTATCTAAATGTAAAATGTACATTATAGTGACTAAGTTGTGAGTAAGGTATTAATACGATGTCAGGAAATAATTAATCTCAACAACTCGATTGATTAAGAAGATGTTCAATAACAAAATTTATACTACGTTTAGCAAAAAGCAATTAAGAGAAAGATTGTGGTGGGCACGTCAGTAATATATTTTATGAAACCGATAAATCCAAAAACCTCTCGACCAAAATACTTCACTATGAGGCATGAGCACTTGAACGACGACCTGTGGCGTGAACTGTAATCCTTCTGTCGAACCGTCCACTGGCAGGAACTGTAGGGATATTTCCAGTCGGCGTGGTCCCAATAATCCACATGGAACGTCAACACGATCAATGTGTGATGGGGATTGGATTTATGGATTGGTTTAAAAGAATTGATGGATTGGATTTATGGATTCAAGTGAAATATAAACATTTAACAAATATGTAAATTTAAGAAATCGTAGGTACGAAAATCTCATAAAATTTGGATACCAAAACATAATTGTTCAATGATTTTACATTAAAATTAAATTTGGGGTATCAAAATATAAAATGTAAATTATAGTGACTAAGTTGTGATTTAATTAAATTTGGGGTATTAGGTACATAAATCTCATAAAATTTAGATACCAAACATAATTGTTCAATTATTTTACATTAAAATTAAATATGAAGTATCTAAATGTAAAATGAACATTATAGTGACTAAGTTGTGATTTAATAAAATTTGGGGTATAAAAATATAAATAGTTATGCAACAGTAACTCAACTTCAAAGTTTATATATAGTAACTATGACCAATTTATCTATTGATTTTGGGTTAAACCTAAACCCACAATCAGGGTGTTACACTTCTCTCAATATCTCACACAAGTAATAAAAACACGAATTACTTTATATGTCTTGATGGATTGAACACACAGATGGAGAAATTATTGTGTACACCGGGAGTACCACCTCAGCATGTTGATTTGGTACTCCCAGCCACTAGAAGCTCGCCACGTCTCTTTCAAATTAATTAACTCATTTATTGTTGGAAACGTTTTTATGTGGATTTTTAATTTCTTTTCTATTAATTATCTTCAATAAAAAATAAATAAATAATAAAATACAATCAAAACAACGGGGTGTCTGCCGCTTCATCTCCCCAAACCCCACCGAACTCGTCCCCTCCGTAGCGCCGACTAAGAGCCGCCGTCTTCTTCTTTCGGAAGCAACAGATTCCTCACCGTCGTCTTCTTCTTTTAGAAACCCCGTCTTCTTCTTTTGGATCTCATTGTGCTAGAGACTGGACCCAATTCTTCCCGGCGGTGGCTCTCGGTGGCTGAATTAACGAGGTGGTTGGATCGCGTTAAAAATTCTTCCCGGAGGCGGTGGCTTAACGACGGCTGCTACAAGGCTTGGAGTCTTGATCTGGAGAACTAAGGAAGAGGAATAGGGGCTTCAATCGCCGCCTGCTTTATTGTGGGAAGAATTTAATTGCAGGTAGCCTGCTCCGCCGAAGGAAAGAAAAATGGGATTTAATTGAAGGTAATTAATAGAAAAAGAAAATTAAAATTCCCCTAAAAAAGATTTAAACAGTGCATGAGTTAGTTAATTTCAATGACAAATGGCAGGCGTCTAGTGGCCGGGAGTACCAAATCAGCATGCTGAGGTGGTACTCCCGGAGCACACAATAATTTCTCCACACAGATGTATTTATTACGTATACATAAACATTGTAAGAGTATTCAACAATGTAAAATCTATTGTTTGCCAATCCTCAAGATGATGTTTTCTTTACACAGTTTGGGGCTACAAGATGACAGTTCACCTGAACTTAGTCTTGATGCTTCGAATAACATCTTCCCCAACAAGGAACGCCTGGGCCATCACTCGGTCAGGAACATAAGGCGTAGCAGCAAAGAGAATGGACCAATCCCTTCATTTACAAACATCTTACTATCAGTTGGCACATCGGAATGGAACGCACCAATTCAGATATGGTCACAAAGACACAAACCATACTAGGACCTGCCCCTGGACCACCAACCCGACCACGCTGGCCCGCGGATGGGAGTGGGGTGTTAGAAGTGGAAGTTCGGGTGTCTTAATGTAATTAACTTATATATATGTTAACATGTACATGGGAGAGAGAGAGAGTAGGGTTAAGGCTACGCATCTATATAGCCTTGTAGTTGATGCTATTGAGGGCAAAAATAAAGACCAAAAGGCTAAAATACACCCATCAACTCTCACATTTAGGCCAATTATACCCATGAACTCTAATTTGGGTCGAATCAATCCCTTAACCATAAAATATAGGCCAAATTTATCCAATATTCTAACATCAAATTAAGAACTGTTTGTAATAATAAAAAAATATTAACGGTGTTAAATACAGATGAATGACCACTTCTTTATCGGACCCAAAAGACTGGCTGCAAATAATTCCTTCTCTGCTGCAAAGTTATTCATCAGCTATGATTCTTATAA